AAAAAAAATGAAGTCAAACATCAAATGAGTTAGCTAGACCTATACGATCCACATGATTTTTATATTGATTTTTTGGTAGTGCTTTAGTCATAGGATCTATAATAATTAGATTAGTGCTAATATGCTTAATTAACACTTCATATTCCTTCATTTTATTTCTCACAATAAAATAATATGTCGATATTCTTATTTCAGCTTTCACTCTTATTATTTTTAGAGAAGAAAACAATAGTCGAATTACCATAATATATATTTATTGATCTTAATATGGAATTGATAACTTTAAGACCACAAATAAAATTCATTAACCAGATCACCTATGTCATTTCATAGCATGCAATGAATTTTGCTTCGATAGTAAATAAAACAATAATAGTTTGTTTAGTACCTTTTCAAGATATAACTCCTTATACATGAAGAAAAAATATATCCTAAAGTAGACTTTCTTATATCTATACGACCAACAAAATTCGAGTCTGAATAACCAATTACCTCAACATGATCAATTTGTCTATAAGTCAACTTGTAATCCTTGGTTGTTTATAAGATGCTAATGATTTTCAAAACAGCTTTTTAATGGTTTATTCTTGAATTGCTTTGGAAACTTCCCAACATTCATACTAAAAATTCCAAGTTGAGTCTTGTATAGACTTATGTATATATCAAATTGCCAACTGCAAATGCATAGTAAATGTTACTCATTTACTTATTTTTCAATGTATTTTATAGGTATCGATTCCAATTGTATTTGTCTATTTTGATAATAGGTGTAACTAAAGATGTGTAATTTGACGTTCTAAATTTTTCCAAAACATTTTCAATATTGACCTTTTGAGATAATTTTAATGTCTTTTTAGATTTGTCTTGTTGAATCTCTATGCTAATGATATAAGACAGAGCACTACCTCAATGAGAAATTAGACTTTATTATGGAGTTTTTAAAGTTCTGTTTAGACTCCACATAAATGAGAAGACTTGTCTTGCATCTTGGCCCAGGTGGGTATTGGTTGTGTCCATAAAATGGTATAAAAATATCAAAAGCAAGCTTTAGGAAGAAACCAATGGCTTTTAGTGTAGTTTTTCATAGAAAGCGCCACTAATGAAGTCTAAAAAATCCAAGCAGCATAGGAATATGGCTCTTAGATTGTATAATTGGTTAATCAATTAGTCATAGCAATCTCATCCATTCTTCCTAGCTAGAAAAGTTGATAAATTATACTAGGAGTTTGGTAGTCTCAGGTATTTTGCGGCTAATACCTGCGAAAGATCTTCTTTGGTGGAGGTGGGGACTTTTTCGATGCTTAAATAAGTGTCTTTTAAGAGAAAAAATACAAAAATATTCTAAAAAGAGATGCTCTAAAAATATATATGCAGTGGAGAATAGAGATTGTGAACCTTTATTATGAAAGTCTCATATTGTATTTATAACCCACGAGACGAGTCTTGTTCTTTTATGAAGAGGAGGGTTTGGAGTGTAATTTGACCCTGATAACATATAATGATGTATAAATATCCCTTACATATATAGTGATATTTGATGAAGATATGGTAGGTCCCTAAAGGACTTTTATACATTTAAAGATGTAGGGAAATTAGAGTCTAAGATGTCAAATATGGTTGAGTTCATGAAAGTTGAGCTCTTTCTTGCAGATTGCAAATTTCTTTACCAAGTCGCATTTCATTTCTCGTTTTCATTTTCTATTTGACAAACTCTCGATACTTATAGCTGTAATATTGTGAGTTTAAGGAGAGATGTTAAATAATAAATTTATATTGTTTTATTTATTAAGGGTAGACTAATATTTTTAGCTTAATCTATATATAAGTGATAGACCAAAAGATTGATGTTTTCTCTCAAGTGCAAGAGTGTCGAAGTAATAAATAATTGTACAAGATCGGGGTCAAACCAAAGGGAGGTGAACTATATAATTGTAAACAATAAGTGAAAAGGAGTTAAAGAGAATTCTTGAGATGTGATATTGATGTAAGGATTAAACAATAATAAAATAATTATTAAGGCTAGAGGATCCAGTAATGGTATTTCAAACAAATATAATATAAACTATTTTTATTACTCAGTTAGAAACCACACACAAATCAAATTCTAATCAGATTATAAATTGTTAACATGATTACATTAGTTATTTTATTCAAATAATGCTAATACTTGTAAATGTTGTGAGGTATTCATGATGCTAACTTATGTTAACAACAAATCAAGTTTCTTTCATAGCATAGGTGTTAGTTATACCATACAGTTAGGCTATGAAAGTGTCAAGTATTTGTTGTATCAAGGGTTATATAATCATAAATCTAGATTAATTATTTAACAAGAAAAGTATTAAAAGTGAACAAAATGACAAATACAAAACATGTTAGTATCAAACATTAAAGTCCATATTAAGTTTATACTATACTTATTCTTACACTATTAATGTAACATTTTCACCTTGATATAATAAACTAAACTAAACATAATGAAAGAGAGAAACATAAATAAACAAGATAAGAATATAAATAAGATATAAGTTAACTAAGTAAAGGAAATGAAATGAAAAGTATAAATAAGAGATTAATATAAGCAAAACTTAAGCATTACAAAAATATAAAAAGAGAGAGTAAGAACATAATCTTGATTTGAAAACCAAAATGCCTAAATGCAAGACAAATATCTCTTGTTATGAGCCAAAATTTGAAACTTTTGTTTTGAAGATTAATTATTGAGTGAGTGGCCACCTCTTGACTTGGTAACAATCTTTATCTTATTGTCTACAGAAAATGTTATTGCTAATATTAGAATTTGAACATATAATCTTTATGAAAGTTCTAAGAAATTGTCTCAACTTTCCAACGAAACAAGAATGAGGTCATTTGGACTTCTAGAACTTGAGATATGGGTTGAACACTGAACAGTGTCTGGACTGCATGATAGATTCAGACTTCTTATTTGATACTAAGTTTGGAGTTCCAAACAATAGAATTGAGCCGTTTTAGACTCTTTATAAATATTTTGGGCCTATATTTTAGCTTTTTAATTATATAATAAACCAAACTAAAAACTAAGATCTACAACTTCAGATATAACCTAATGACTAAATAGTATTTCAGTTTAAATTGAATCAGCATCTCTTTTCTAATTTTAGCCTTTTTGTTTATCCTTTTCTCTTTCAATAGTTAATCACGTAATTAATCTTTTAAATTGTGAAATATACTTGCATTTAAAATAAGCATTTACTATCAATTAAAGCTATCTTATATTATCATATTTTTTATTATAAAAATATATTTTAGTTTAGGAGTTATTGTTATTTTAAATACAACATGATAATATAAAATCTTGATAAAAATACACTTTTAAGTACTAATCAATAAGTTCTTTATATTTGAGTTAAATAATGTACTTTTTACAAAACAATTAAGGAGAATTATAGCCTCTCTCTCTTTGTATTCGTTGTCACACTTGGACATCGCGGCGACCGATTAAAAATTATCTCGATTGGAAAAAAAAATAGATATCTGACATCTTATTCTTTTAGGGGAAAAGGTCTTATTCAAGGAGTCGCTACCTAGTATTATAGTAACTAGGAACCTTATCTGGTCAACATAGATTCTATTTTGTAAAAAGATCATTTTCAAGTCCAAATTGTAGCAACAATAAAGAAATACGAATTTGTCTTCCAACCTGAGCACTGTTCAGTATTTAGCCCATATCTGGAGTTCTAGAAGTCGAATATTTTAGAATCGAATTTGAAAGCAGACAACTATCATTATCTTGAGGATTATCTTGAACAAGGTAAGGATTATCTTGAAGATGATAAGGATTATCTTTAAAAAGGTAAGGATTATCTTTAAAAAGATAGGGATTATCTTAAAGGTAAGGACTATCTTGAAGAAGATAAGGATTATCTTGAGGATAAAAATAGAATGACAAAGACACATTGTAGTCCCTAATTTTCACGCAAGTAGACAAATCACAATTTTCATCAAAAAAAAATTATGATATTTTAATTTTACATTTTAAACCATGTAAAATTAAATTAAAAGCTAATGAGTCAAAATTGGATTACAACATTCGTATTTATTTTGTGTTAATTGAATTGTTTTAATAAGTGTAAATTGATTTTTTTTAAATATTTTTAATTTAAAAATATATTAAAATAAATTATTTTATTTTTTAAATTAATATATCTGGGTAAAAAAAACTATAAAACTATTTATTTAATATTTTTCTAAGTGAAATGCATAAAAAAAGCACTTTCTTATAAACTAAACAATTTTTAAAACTTGCTTTCTATCACTATAAATTAGAAAAAAAAATTAAAAGTATTATTTTTTAAAAAAATCAACTTATACTATTTTAAAAAAAAAGTTATTTAGAAAAAACACTAGCTAAGATAGAACTTATTATTATTTTTTAAAAAAAACAAACTCTAGCTAAGATAGAATATATAAGATAGAATATATTTGATATGATGTGTGATTGATAGATTTATCGGTGCTGATTATTTAAACCAAACCGACGGAGCTGTCAAACCTAAAATGGACAACCCAATGCAAATATAATACGGCTTCATAAAAGATGAATCATGTAAAGACAAATTTATGTGCCTGCTTTCAGAAGAGAAAAGGAAAGAAAGGAAAAGCAAAGAAAACCAGCCATTGCTTTCATCTCCATGCGAAAAAAGAATTAAAATTAAAATATATATGCTATTAATTTGAAAAATATTATCTCCATGTTCTTGTCTCATTCTTGATTCATATCTTGGAACAATCCCCATGTCCAATCCTTGTTCCAAATATTTTACAATGCTACAGCACTTGTTTAAAAAAAAACAAATAAGAAAGCAAACTCCCAAATTCAGAGCTACACACACACATGTATGTATCTTGTCAAATTTTGCATTTCAAAAGGATGTATGTACACTTGTCAGTTTTAATCACTTGATCATCACGCACAAATTCTCAACAGCAAGAACGAGTGGTGAGTGCGAATAAACATCATGAGAAGCAGTAAAAGGTTCTGCTGTGGTCTGAAAATCTGTGTTCTAGTTACCTTTGTGCTCTTGGTCATTATATCCGTGGTTTTAGTTACCTTGTATTTTACAGTTTTCAAGCCTAAAGAACCAAAGATTAATCCTCAGCCTGTTATCCTTGAGAGTATTCGTTGGATAATCTTTCCAATACAGATGTTAAATATTACATTAGGCATGGTAGTCACAGTCGAAAATCGAAACTATGGAAGCTTCAAATACCAGGAGAGTGCAGCTTATGTGAGTTACAGGGGGGATGTCGTCGCCGAAGCTCCGATCGATGCTGACACTATTCCTGCTCGAGGGAAACATAATATAAGCACAACTGTGACAATATTTGCGGATAAGTTGTTATCGGATGATAATTTCAAGAGAGAGTTTCTACAAGGGTCGATCTTGAATTTTACTTCAGCAACAACCTTGCATGGTAAGGTTATCTTGTTCAAGTTGATCAAGGCAAAAGCCATTAGTTCAAGCACTTGTGACATCTCTATCTTTGTCCGAGAGCAGCAAGCTGAGTCCATTTGCAAATCCAAAGTCAGCTTATAAATGAATTCACGTACGTTCTTCGCTATCATTTCTATACATGCAATAGTTACCATGTAAGATTTTGGATTTATAGATCATTCATCCAAACTGCTGGTACCGTCATTTTATTAAATAAATTTGTTGTATGCTTTTAATTGGATATTGCATGAACTTATTGAGAATCATAAAAAGTATGGTGAGCATTTATTTTGAACAATCAATAATCTTTCAACCTCCAATTTTGCCTATCTAGAGATATCTCATATCCAAGAGGCATAATGTTTTATACAATTCAATGTGGAGCAGGACGCTTTAAACACCCACATAAATAATATATATTTATGTATTTATGATGTATATAAATATATAAACCAAGGTGGAGGTTGCGATGCAAGCTAGCTAATATTTACGTTTCTCATGTTTGTTAATGCTAGTACCTATTTTTTTTTCTTTATTAATAAACCTTGTATCCTGTTTACCCAAAAAAGAATATAAAAAATATAATTGTTTTTATCCTTTCTTAATAAACTATGATCCGATTCATAAAAAGGTAAAAGTTATTTTCACTGGAAACACTCTCCACATAAATAAATAAAAAATCAAGTTGAAAATATTAATCTGTTTATTTAGCAATGATAAGTTTTTTAAGGTAATATTTGGTTACTGTTTTTTTTTCAAAAACAGCAATAAAAGAATATTTTTTCATTTATTTTTTATTTTGAAAGTACAAAAATCTAATTTAAAATATTAAAAAAACATATTTATTTTATAGTTTTATCTTCATTTCTTCAATCAAATACATATATTTATTCTTTTTGTCATATTACAATAACCAAATGATATAATTTTTTTAACATGACCTCTTGTAAGAGAAATAGAGATGCATTAATGACATCAAATATATTCAAAAGGGGAAAAATCGTTGTATTAATATTACCTTCTCAACTCTGGCTAGGAATGCACAAAATATAAGCAATTTGATTGTCATCAAATATGGTGGGTGAACATTTAAAACGAAAGACCATTTATGTTATTAATAAGTGGTCTTTATCGAGTAAATGATGTGACAGAGCTCGCTCATCCAACATCAAATAAGGTGGGTGAAAATTAATATTCCATGGATTTGTACCGGCTAGTTTTATGCGCATGCTTTCACTTGTTCTTAACGTGGTTGTCATAATTCACAAGGTTGCCACATAAATTAACATAAATGTCCCTCTCACATGCCGTATATATTTTGTTTGCAGGAAAAAGCAGAATCTTAAAATAACATTTAGATTCACTGACAAGAAATTTTACTTCAATCTAAACCGTGTGTCGTTTTTTATTGTTTATAAAAATATTGTTCACCTTTTTGTATTTTACAGTAGATTATAATAGTGTGAGTTTTGTAATTTTTAATATGGTACTTAAATTTGATTTTTACACTATTGAATTTTTTTGAAACCAAATTACAATTCAATTGCACATGGTTTTTTCTAGAAGGGAGGGTTAAATTAAAAAAAAAAACAGAGACCGAGTGAATAAAATAGATAATAAAGGTGGTTGATTGAAAATTTTCATAAAAAATTCATTTGAACCCTTGTTTTTTTTAGCTATTAGATCATCGATTTCTTAAATTTTATAAAATTTAATTTTTGTACCGAACTTCAATGTACTCATTTTTCAGAGGTTGTCAAATTCTACTTTAGAGATAGAAAGTGTTCATTCATGAGTTCAACCACCAAAACAATTATTTTTTTTGTCAAATAGTTCCATATGATAAAGAGAGTTAAGATTACATGTTTTTCTTTACCTTGAAAACACCTAAAAAATCAAATCTAAGCTCAGGAGGTTTTTTTTTTCAGGTGGAATTTAGATTTTAGGGCAGTTTTTTATGTTTTTTGTGGACATGGATTGGTTTAACAAAGTCTCTAAGATATTTTCTACATGTCTGTAAGGTGTTTATATATGTTTTGTACCAAAAATAGGGTTTTGGGTGAAAAATAAAGGATCTTATTTTTCTTGCCACCACAATGATCGGATTGTAAGGACAAATAGATAATGCGTCGCCTGTTGATGTAGGTGGCACATCATTTTTTTCCATTATCCGCTCAATTAAACTTAAAACAATATAGGCTTGCGTGTGAGTTATTGCTTGATTAGGCCAAGTGTTAGGTCTGGTGACACGACGAAAAGATTGATGTCTGCGTGTGAGTTGTTGCTTGATTAGGCCAAGTGTTAGGCCCGGCCTACTTTGACCTAGCAGTTCCTAGCCTAATTCTTTTTTTTTTTTCTAAAAAATGCATTAGTTTATATTTGTTTTGAAATAAATTTTTGGTTTATATTTTAATTAACTTGTGATGATTTTTTAATGATATTAGGTGTGTTTAGTTTTTAAAGAGATAGGTATGATTCATCTGTGATTTTTTTATTTTACATAGATTAAATTTGTTTTTTTATATTGATTTTTTATAAGATTTTTCATATGTGCAACCTTGTATTTTTTTTGTTTTTATTTAATAAATTTTATGTCTGTGTCGGTTTCTATTACAAATTTATTTTGATAGAGAAATTCATTAAACCTTAAAAGATAAATTACCCATGTTGTGATGTTAAATATTTTTATCTTTATTTTTTGTTTAATTTTTTATAGCATTTCAAAATTAGGTTGATGTTTTATTTTACAATCATTTTTTTTTATCATGTAGTTAAATTTTTAAAAAATATATAATCTCATTGGAGTCCATAACCCGGTTCAAAGACTTAGCGTGCTATTCTAGGTTACTTGATTCATAGATTTTGACAAGTTCACCCACTAGCAAAATATGGTTTCTTGGTTTTTGGTTCATTAATTGTTTTTAATATTTTTTTAATTTTATCCTTCAATATTACATTGGTTGAGAAATAAACTGCATGATTTATTTATTTATTTTGCTTTTTTTAGGGTTATCATTGTCTCTAATAAGTTTTTATTTTTAGGTTAGTCAATTTTTTGATTAAATAATTAAAAACAATTATTAAAATCAATGGAATCCATGACATAATTTGCTTGAGGACTCAAATCAATCTAATTTGTCATTGTCTCAGTAGTTTTTGTGAAAATAATTATTATCATGAATTTTTGTTAAAAACTAAACTTTGTTTTTATTACTCATCATAAATCAATCAATTTAATTTGAGCCAATTCCCGCATGATTTAATTTGAAACTCAAGGTAAGCAAAGAGATACATTATGAGATTTGAAGATTGATCCATTAATTTAGATTTAATAACATAATAAAAAAGTTCTTCATGCTCTTAATATTATTATTTTTTACATTTTAAAAATTTGTCTGGCATATGATAGAACATGGGTTGATAGACTAGTATATACTAAATCATACAAATTTCTTCTAAACTATAAGTTATTTTAATTAGCACCTCCATGTGTTCTTTTTTTTTTTATATATCATCTAGGAGTGAGAGAAAAAAAAAACACCTCCATGTGTTCTTTTTTTTTATATCATCTAGGAGTGAGAGAAAAAAAAAAGAAAAATTCTATTAATCCAAGAAAAAATAATCAAAAAAATTAAACCAAGAAAAAAAATAAAAAAAAATGATTTGATTTTGATTTAAGGGTTTTGAAATCAATTAAACCAAACCGAACTAGACTTTTAAGAATAAATATGAAAGATATTGCTTATAATATTGTTTTCTAAGAATGAATATAAAAGATGTCCCAATTTTTTAAAAGTTTGTGTTCATAATAGTAGTAAAAATTTTCTTCTCCCAAACCTTTAAGATTTCCATCTAGTTTTTTAAAACATGAAGTTCATATTGTGCTTAATATATAAAAGAGAATAGATCAACTATTTGGTTAGGCTCTACTTGCAACAAACTCTTCTATTACATTTATATATGTTGTTTGAATAAGTTAATATCTTTTTTTATTTTTTTTAATAACATTTATATATGTTGTTGTTATCTAATTTATTTTATGAATGTTCTTGGATTTTCCCCTTTATTCTATAAAAATAAATTGGGTTTAGCTATAGAAAGCTAAAAAAAAAAACCCATAAAAGCGCCCAAAAAATCCCACTAAAAACCAACTAGTTTTTGCTGATTTTCCTTCTTAAAAAAACAAACTGAACCAAATTTAATTGGTTTGAACCAATTTCTAATTAGGTCCGTTTCTATATATATAGTTTTGATTTGGTTGGTTTTTTTATTGAAAATCGAACCAAACCAAAAATATTCACCTATAATATCACCTTTTAAACTATAAAGTATTTCAAGTGATGATCATTTTGTTATAATATGTTAAATTTAACAATTAATACCATATGTAAATAACTTGTTTTTCTAAAACAAAATACCAAAAATGCATTAAAAAAAGTCACAAAAGTATTGAAGTTTAATTTCTTGATAATAATGTTATTATATTGTAAATAATTTTTTAATTTTTTATTTAACAATATTTTGTGATCTTTTGATACTTTATAAAGAAACATGTAGAACTCTTATGTTATGTAACTAAAAAATAAATGGAATGTAACAGAAGGATTTTCTATTAAAACTTGTAATTCAATAAATTTGAAATAATAACATCAAATGTTAGGATTCAAACTTATAATTGTAGAGCATAGTTAAAAGTATTTTAAATAATTGACTTAAATATGAAATTAGACTCATAAAACAATCTTATGCTTGCTTAGTAAGACTTCCTATTTACCATGTATAATGTTCTTGCACCACCACTTAAAATTTTAAGAACTAGTAAGTTGTAGGAAGAGAGACCAAACAATTCATTAAAAATAATAAAATAGAGAGAGTTGAGGATTATTATAGTAGAGAATTATCTATTTAACAACGATAACAATAAATGTCAAGGTTAGAGGATCCACTAATGGTATGTTAAACAAGTATAGTATAAACTCTTATTATTCAATTGGAAACCACACACAAAGGAGGTTTCAACTAGATTATAGATTGTTAACACGATTACATTAGTCATCTTATTCAATTAATGTTAATACTTGTAAATCTCGTCAAGCATTCAT